ATATATATATATATATATATATGTATACACGTTACCTGTGTCGAAATCTATACGCGGGCTTTCTAAAAGCGCCAACCCGTGACAATAATCCATCCCTTCTCCCTCCAATTTCTTCGGGAACGCATCCACTATAGCGACATGCGCGGTTATTTTCTGCGGGATCAGAAAAATTACTTGGAATTCGTCATCGAAGATTTCTCAAAGCTATCGTTTCGATTTTCGCGTGTTTACTTTCACCCGTGTTCGAATAATGAATCGCGCGACGAATCGAAGGATGAAAATATAAATATAAGAGAGATGGAAGAGAAGAAGAAGAGCTGATTTACCTGAAAGATAAGCGCGTTCACGATGGCCACGCCAACCATACCGGCTCCTACCACGGTCACTTTGTGACAACAATCCTGCACCGGTTCCGAAAACTTGCAAAGCAGCTCTTCCTTCAAACATGGTTGTCTGAAATAAGAAATTTCCGGTAAAAATGTTCAAAGATACGTATCGTTCGGTGTGTCGAAATTATCATTGGTTTTTTTTTTCCTCTCTCTCTTCGATAGAAAATTCTGTGATGTAGCTTGAATGAAAATAATTTTTTATTACGAGTATTCTTCTAGGCGCTGATTAAACTTTTGGAAATTTTTGATGCGTAAAATTGGATCATAATCGTCTACGATTCTATCTATTATTTTTATTCAATAATACACTTTTACGTTTAACAATCGAAATTACGAATGTCCTAAAGATTTATATCTGTTCGCATAAATTTATTTTTGAATTTTCGGAGATTATAAAAAGGATTAAACGCGAGTTGAAACTGTGCGCGCGAATTATTCGATGTAATGATATGACGACGTGTATCGTTTATTAAAATTTTTCTCAGATATCCTTCACCACGAAACTTCGAGTCATCTCGCGAATAACGTGTTGCGTTTACGAGACGACGAAATCTTCTTGTTACCATTTCAATTTAATTTTAATTTCACGGACAGTCTCAATTGCTTGAAATTTATTTTCCACATCGTTTCCACGTGTTGATCGATTCGAGTGTTGTTGAAAAGTTGTTGTACACATGTTAGATCGCTGATTAATTTTAAATTAATCTTAGACGAAAATTGAAATTGAAATTTTAAATTCGATATGTACCGCCGATATCGAAGTAACGGCGGTCAGTAGACAAGAAGTAGACAGGATAGATCCGCGTTAGGTATACAGAAAACGGGCCGCTTACACGAAACTGACCGCTCTCTGAAAATCGGATCCAGCGTTGGCGTCCTTGCCGAAATCAGCGGACGCTACTTTCTTCTTAATGTTCCCACCGAAGATATCCTTTAATATCGTTGGTGGTAAAGTACGATTGAAATGTTTATTGGACAGATTTCTTCTCGATATCAAGTATATCGAGCATTTTAGATACGTGGTTAGCGACAAAGATGACAGCATGCGCGACAAAACCATTGCTCACTTTCACCCGATGATTTTATTCGATTCCCGTGATTTTTTTGTCATGGAAAATGTCACATCGCATACGGTTAATTGACGTTTCACAAAAAAGAAGTCGCTAGCGATCATGGCACGTCTATTAAACCGCCATTGTATCGATTTGCCAATTGTTAAACAATCCATGGTTACAGAATTGCTCGAACCGAATGTACATACATGATTGCGATTGATCTTGGGGTGGCAAAAAAAAAAAGGAAAAAAAAAAAAAAGAAAAGAAAGGATAAAAAGATAAGAAAATGTAAAAATTAGATTCGAAAATATAAATTTATCACCGTTGAATGATAGTATTAATTTATTGAAACACTGATATAAATACACAAGACAATTTGTTGTTATCTCTGTGATATTTTAAATAGATTTTATACGAAAACTTTGCGAGGTAGGTAACGAAATTCGCTCGACAAATTGCGACCAATGTTAATGTTACGAATGAATTTAAATTTTTCTTACAAATTCTTCTTCTATATCGTGATTGATAATCGAAATTTACGTACATACTTGTGTTTCGATTTATCTCGATAAAATATCTTATCTAACGTCAAATCATATGTACTACATACATAGTTTAATTATTACGTCATATAACATATATATATATATATAAAATATAATCGGAACATGTATAGTATTAAACTAAGTAGATTCGATAGAATTTTTTCTCAAATATTGAAATATCAATAATACAATTTATAATACTTTATGGTCAAAGAACTTATACATTTTTTTTATATATATATAAAAAATCATGCTTATTATTGCAATAACAATACACTCAAAATTAATTTTTTGTCCTA